ATCAAAAGAGGGATTTCAGAAATCATCACAAGGCCATAATTATTCTCCTGAGTGCCATCTCATATTCAGAGTATGAGAAGATCACAAACAGAGAGACAACAAAACACATGTTTGATTCTATGAGAATGACACATGAAAGCAACACACAAGTAAAAGAAACTAAAGCCCTTGCACTCATTCAGAAGTATGAAGCCTTCAAAATGGAAGAAGATGAAACCGTTGAAACAATGTTCTCTAGATTTCAAATTCTTATTGTTGGACTAAAGGTGTTGGACAAAGGGTACTCAACTGTTGATCATGTAAAGTAGATCATCAGAAGTTTACCAAGGAAATGGAGATCCATGATCACTGCTCTCAAACTTGCAAAATATCTGAACAAAATCTCTCTAGAAGAACTTGTCAGCTCTCTCAAAAGTCATGAAATAGAGTTAGAAGATGATGAGCCCCAGAAACAAGATAAGTCTCTCGCTCTGAAATCTAATAAATATGAAACCAAATTTTTGCAGGCAAAAGCAGAAGCAGAAAACTCTGGTGAATCCTCGTCAAAGGAAGACAAATTGTTCCTTCTATCTAGAAGAATCAATCAGCTGTGGAAGCACAAGCAAAGAAAATTCAGAAACTCCAAAAGAACAGGGAATGACTCTGAACAATCTTCTGGATACAAAAAATCCAGTAACAGAAACATCACCTGCTATGAATGCAATAAACAAGGCCACTACAAAAGCGACTGTCCAAGGTTTCAGAAGGAGAAACCTAAAAGGAAGATCGTTAAGGAGAAGAAGAAAAGTATTATGGCAATGTGGGATGACTCTGAATCTTCTGAAGATGGAACATAATCAGAAGATGAACGAGCTAATATAGCTCAAACGGACAACTTATCAGATGTCTCCGAATCCTCTGAATGAGAATCAGAATCAGAATTAGACTCAGAGTCAGAAGAGGTATTTTCTAACTTTTCTAGGTCTTAATTAAAGGAGAGTATGTCATAAATTCTAGAAAGGTATCAGAAGCTTCAAGTCATAAACAAGAACCTGAAAAAGGATCTAGTTTCTGACTCTGAAGAAACTAAGAATTTGAGACTAGAAAACTTTGAGTTGAAAGAAAAAAATTTAAAACTTGAAAATGATTTACAAAATACTCAGAAGTTCCTAGTAAGCCTGATACAATCATAAAGGAATATGATCACATCTTTCAGAAGTTCCTTGCTAAAATCATAGATAGAAGCAAGATGGCTTCAGTGATCTATGAAGTTAGAAGAAATGGCAGAAAAGGTATAGGATACAAAGGTAAAGTATCCCAACCTAAGAAAGTCAAGGATTTGGTTATTAAATGCACTCCTCTTTATTCTCACTTCACTACTGAACAAACACATGATATAAAATATACCAGTAAGACGTTTTATGCTAAACCAAAATTTAAACAGAATTTTAGAAACTTTAACAGTCATGGACCCAAAAAGATATGGTTACCAAAAGACAAAATCATCTACATTACAAATATTTTTAACAACAAGATTGAAACACCAATCCTAACACCTGGACTCTGGATGCTCTTTACACATGGAAGGAAGAAAGCATATGTTCCAAAGCCTGGAATTTAAAGGATTCGCAAGCTTCAGAGGCAATCAGAAACAAAAATTTATTGGCTCTAAAACTATTGGGAACGGGAATAAGAATACAACATCAGAGGCTTTCTATAGAATCTCAGTTGAATCTAGAAGACGATTGTCACACCTTCTCAAGCAAATTCCTACTTTTTGATTATTGATAAAAAGGGGGAGAATCAGTGATATTTTGACTCCTATCAGAAGAAAATCTGCGTTATCAGAAGATATTCAGGGAAGTATTTTAATTTTCTCATTATCTGAGTATTCTACTCAGGGGGAGTTTTTATTATTTGTTCTTTATGCTCCATCAAAATATACAAGTTTTTGTCATCATCAAAAAGGGGGAGATTGTTAGAACATAATTTGGTTCTACATCCCTGCAAGAGTTTTGATGATAACAAACACATGATATATATAAAAAAAATGCCCGCTAATAAAAGTATCTTTATATGCAGGAAGTTCTGATGTGAAAAAGATGTTCTGATGTAAGGAGCATAGACGATCTGCCAGAACATCACTAGAAGTTCTGATTATGCAAGCACAGAAGATGAGAGTACCATGATAGAATCAGACGTATCCTTCTCAGAAGCAAATCTGTGTGACACACTTATATAAAGAAGTTTTGTTATAACTTCTGAATGCACCAGCGCTGCGAAACAGGATCTTTGATACTTTGATATGTAATATTATGATACAAGCTGTAAAGGACTCTCAACGGTAACATTCATCCTCTGACGTGAGAAGTTCTGAAGTGTTACATTTTATCAATACAATATCAAAAGTAACGGCTACAAACAGACAAGGATCTCCTGGTTTAGAAAGTTCATTAACTCATGTTACGAACATACAAAAAGCATCTTCTTATGTCACTGTTGCATTGCCTATATAAAGAAGACAAAAAGAAGAATTTAAGTGATGAACTATTATGCACAAAAAGAAGAATTCACGTGAAAGTACAATAACACAGCAATCATCTTTTCATCCTCAAAGATTTTATATTAAAACTGTGTAAAACATCACTGTTAGTGATACTGTTTTATTAGAAACACTATTGTACACATTTATTGAATTACTGTTTAGACATTTCCTTGAGAAAATTGGGTTGTGGTTTTGGACTCAAGAAGACTTTGGCAGTTGTCAAAGTAGTTTTGTAATCAAGATTGATTAGTGGATTAAGACCTCGTTGGAGAGAGGTGAAATCACTTTGGCGAGTGTACTGGAGTAGTTTGAGTTCAAATGAACCAGGATAAAAATCAACGTGTACTTTTCATTATGTTTTGAGATCCCAATTCAACCCCCCCCCCCCCCCCCTTCTTGTGTTTTTCCCTTCTTCAACAATAACACAACAACATGTCAGCAACCATTCGACATCGGACATAGGCCTACAACATAATATTGCCCATAATTATTCGGATAATTCTCGACTATACCGGTTAATTACTTATCTAAATGCTTATTTATAATTACAAAACTTCTATAAATTGTTATACTATAATACTACATCATCATTATCATTGATATTATTATTATGAACCAAGCATTATCATAAGATCGTCATGTCATCATCATACTTCATCACCACAAAATATCATGGAGATTCAACATGGGAAAGCTAACTCTATCCTAACTTGGGTACTAGAATTATCCTTCTTATCCTTCATTTTACTCCTTATAAATATAGTTCATCACATTAGCTTCCCAAAACTTCGAACGACGCATCAAACAGAGTTACGGTTCAAAAGTTATAGAGTTTTCAAGTTTTCAAAAATACAATCAATTAGTGAGCAATCGATTGCACTAACAGAGCAATCGATTGCACCCTGTTCCAGAGGCCAAAAATCACATTTTTAAGTAGTGCAATCGATTTCTCTTCTGCTGAAATTGATTGCTTACTAAAACAGAAGCAAAAATCCCAATTTTTAAGCAGTGAAATCAATTGCTCTTCTGCTGCAATCAATTGCACCCTGTGAAAAACAGTTTCACGAGTTCTGTAAAGTGCAGTACAAAAATCCATTTGTTTCAATTCCAAAGACACAAACTTCATGAAATAATACACAATCAAGCATCCAGTTATCATTGCTATCAACATACATCAATTATCACACAATTCAAAGCATCAATTCATCGATTATAGTCAATTTCAACGGATTAAATAAAACAATCTACACCAAAACCTAACATGCATATCATTACATCCCTACCATTATACCACTTATTAGAGAGTCAGAACCCCGCCCTTACCTCGGATTCGAGATTGCTCTATAATTTTCCGATTGAATCCCGCTTTGCCTCTTTTCCTCTTCTCTGTAACTTCTACGTTCTTTTCTTTCTTCCAACCCTTATTCCTCTTCTACTTGACAAACCCTCTTTTCCTTACTGTCACTTCTAATTTCTATTATTATAACCAAACTTAATAATAATAGTATTGCTATTGGGCCTAATTCTCACACCTCTTTAATGCTACATACCACCATATAAATAAGCTCGGCAACTTAATCTTATATTATTCCATTAATTCCAACATTATTATTATTATTAATCAACTAATCAATTAATTATTAATAATCTAACAACTTATACCAACAATTTTCAACATTTCACAACTTCAAACATTAATCCAAAAATAATTTAATTAAATAATTAATTAAATTAACGGCCATTACACATGAATTCATTGGTGAGGGATTATGCTCTGTTGTTGTCCTGGAATGCCGTTGTGTTGAGGGCTTATACTCTGGTGTTGCTCAATTGGCACTATGTTGGGGGCTTATGCCTTGTTGGTACCATATTCATTTAGTTGTTGTCGATTGCATTGCATTGCACTGCCTTGATTTGATGTTGTGCTGTATGAATGAAGATGTATAGATTTCATGATTGATGTTGTTTATAACTACTATATATTTTCCTTATATCTTTTGTAATGAATTGTGATTAGTCACCCTTTTTGTTTGAATGTTGTCTCCATGTGAGTAACGCGCAGGGGATCGAGATTAGTTCTAGAAGCTTGAGGGTAGCTTGAAGTCTTTAGTGTGTTTCTTTTGAATAAATAGAGCCTTACTCTGATACGTAACACAAGATTTTGGAATTTGCTATGTTTTTGCATTGTTTTATTGTTACATATCTTAATTCATGCTTATGTTGAACCACAAATTTTGTGGAGAATGTTGTTATTAAAACAATGATGCTATGAAAATGAATAATTGGATATTTCCGCTATGTAAATAATTCTTTTATATGAAATGAAATAATAAAGTGACTTGAGACTTTATGAATTTTTGTAGTATGTGACATCCTACTTGTGTACTCTGATATATGTTGATATGATTATTATTATAGAAAAGTGAGGTGTTACAATGACCAAGGTGATGTGAATAGGAATGATGAGCAATGTGATATGACTGTGAATGATGTGAATGTGAATGATTGTCAAGATGATGTAAACGTGGAGGATGTTGAAGCTAATGTGAATATGGAGGATGATGAAAGTGGAACTGACCCTAATTACGAAGAAAGTGAGGAAGATGATGATGAAAGTGAAACTCGTCCTAATTTAGGTCCTGATGTTAGTGTAGATTGGACAACAGTTCTTCCCAATGAGAAAATTGAACATACTTCCAAATATAATATTATTTTTGATAACGAGAGTTATGATTCAGATGAACTGCACACCCCACTAGAAAGTGATGTTGAAGATGAGACGGAGAGGTTTCTAACTTTTAAAGAAAACAATATATTTGAGTTAGCGTGATGTTCAAAGATAAGTTACAAATTAGAGATGTTATAAAATGATATGCAATGGATAAGAAGAATTTTGTCCTAAAAAATGACAATAAGAGAATGGTTGTAAGATGCATGAAATGCTATCCATTTTATATAAGGTTTAGTATGCGGACTGTCAATCGATTTTGGCAACTTGTTAGCTTCACTAAATAACATAATTGTCATAGGAAAGCTAAGAATAAATAAGAAAAACCTGATTGGTTAGCTCGCAAATTTGTTTATACATTAAGAAACAATCCTAATATGAGAACTAAAGGTTTGATTGCAGAAGTCATTCTGAAACAGGACGTGAAGTTGATGAATGACCAAGCTTACAGAGCCAAGAGAAAGGAAATAAATTGTATTCAAGGTGTTGGTCGTGAATAATTCACACATTTGAAGAGGTATACTGATGAATTGATTAAGTAAAATCTAAAATCTATGATTAAGATTTAATGTGCTGATTCTAGTGGTGGTCCTCTTTTTGAGAGAATTTATGTATGCTTGGAAGCATGTAAGACTGCATTTGCAACCACATGCCGACCTCTATTTGGGTTAGATGCATGTTTCTAATAGGGGACTTTTGAGGTTAATTGATAGTTGTTGTTGATATGGATGGAAATAATAAGATGATGGTTATATCATTGCGGTTGTATAAGTCGAAACAAAAGACTCATGGCAATGGTTCCTAAAGTTATTGCTTTGTGATTGGAAATCATGTATTTACTTGATGATTTAAAATCTTAGACTAAACTTGTTTGTTGAGGCGAATGAGAACCTTGATTTAGTCATGGTAGAAGAAGAAGAGAAATGAAAAAGAGGCAAAGAAGAAGAAAAAAGGCGAAGAGGATGCGCTGAGAAAGAAAATATACGAACAAAATGAGGAAATATGGGGAAGGGTTAGGGTTAGGGTTAGCCCATTTATTTCTGTTTTTTATAATTGTTGGGCGAGAATATGGAGTACTCAACGGTCTAGAGGGGGTGAATAGACCTCCCAGATAAAAATTATTTCATTGAAAATGGTTTGAAAAACTTTTTATCAGTTTTAAAACAAAAAATATTTTGCATGGCAGAAGCAAACTTCAGCATAAAAGAGATTATGCTTATAGATTGGAGTTGATATGTAATGACTTAAGTAGTTCACAACAAAACCAAAACTAACACACAAATTTAACCAAACATACAAACGAATTAGTGTATTAAATGATTGTCAAAATTACACGAGAAGTGTGATTTTACACCACCAACATTGCTTATATTCTACCGTCACAATTTTCAATTTAATCTACAACAAGACAAAACTGAAGTTCCAATTCTAACAAAACCTACACCTTTACAATAAATTTCTACCAGAAGAAATTCTAAAGGCATACAATTCTAGAAAGTAATAAAGAACAAAATAATCGTGCAATGTCTACGAAATTAAGAGAGAGAGAGAGAGAGAGAGAGAGAGAGAGAGAGAGAGAGAGAGAGAGAGAGAGAGAGAGAGAGAGAGAGAGAGAGAGAGAGAGAGAGAGAGAGAGAGAGAGAGAGAGAGAGAGAGAGAGAGAGACGGTGTGTGTGTGTGTCAGATATATATATATATATATATATATATATATATATATATATATATATATATATATATATATATATATATATATAGAGAGAGAGAGAGAGAGAGAGAGAGAGAAAGAGAGAAATATACATTGGGATTTATACTAGTTCAGCATGTTCATCCTCGCTTTGCATATACTCTAGTCTTTAATGGTATCCCATTGAAAATTTGTTGGTCTTCCAATAATATTTGTGACAAAATTATTAGAGTTTCGTATAATCACAATATCCAAAATTAACACTGAAAATATAAAAATCTTCTTTCTACATTTTTTACTTGTAAACAGTCTATGAACTGAACTCTTTTAGAAATATTCTCACGGAATCCCCTTTAATCTTCCAGCCCCAACAACCTATTCCTAAGTCTTCATTCTGCGATAATTCTTACTCAATCCCACCATTATCTTGACTATTGGTTTATCCGAAGATTAAGAAGAACTCACACCTTGTATGTAGGATTCCACACTGCACTACCAAGGAACCCGGAGAGAAGAATCTCCTTCTTTTACACTGGAATTGTCAAAACCATCCATAACACTACACAACTTATAAACCTCTGAACCTCTACCAAATCTTAAAGGAAACATTAAAAAATTAATCTCCTCAATAATCACAAATCTCCAAAGATGATATTCATATCCATACAACAATGGAGAAAGAATTAGGTAGAAGATGAAAGAAATCGTTTGCAAGTGTTCAAGAAAGATTCAAAACTCTTTTGAAAATATGAAAGAAGAAATGGTATGTGAGTTTTCAAATCAATATTCCAAGTGTATGTTTTCTAATATTGTGAAGGTTTTGAAAGAAAATTATATTTATAGGTACTAGAGATCTAGCCTAAAAATGAGTGAAAGTGGTGTTTGATTCAAGTCGTAAGCAGAATATATGATTTGAGTCATAAGAAAAATTGATTTAAATCAAAATCTGAAACATATGAGAAACTTATATGTATGATTTAATTCATGAAAATGTGTGATTCGAATCAAATGTGATAATGGAAAACCATATAAATGCAATCTTTCATTATTCGAGTCAAGCGTAAGCCATGATTCGAATTAAAAGGTGTTATGATTCAAATCAAGTACAAGCACTGATTTGAATCATGACAACATCAAAAATTTCCCACAGTCTTTGTTTCATTTGAGTCAAGTCATGAGATGTTTGATTTGAATCACACACCTAGAATCTCAATTTTTTTCAATTTTAAAGAGATTTTGGGATTCCACCAATGTCATGACTTGAACTAGCCTCAAATATAGTTCTTGATCCAAAAACTCGTAAAAGTTGACTTATTGATACACTATAATCAAACACGTTGATTAATGCTTTCTAAAATATGAATCTAAAACTCAATCCAGAAACGTGCAACTAACGAGGAGACTCAATGACATAAAACTAAAACCAAAAGCTTAAGAGACAAGTAACAAAATCATAACCCTTAAGGTAGCAGAGACATGCAACTTCAAAAATGATATTATATTAATATTTTGGAAAGTTTTCAAAAAACATTAACCTAAATATGAAATAAAAAATGAGTTGGAATAAAAAAATGTTTTTATACTGACTTGGCAATGACATGTATGCCAGATAAACGTCATATCAATAATCACCAAATCCCATGGCCAGATATAGGCCACATGGAAGAGAGCACATGGTGACCAGTCAATAGTCACCAAATCCCATGGCCAGATATAGGCCACATGGCGTGCATCAACGAGGACGTCCTTCGGGGGAAGGTTCCATATGGGGAACAAGATTCTATAAAGGTTCTAAGGATAATGGCAGACAAAAGGGGATCCCTACAGGATATAGATTATGACTAAACAGAAAACCATATGAGATAAACCAAATAATACCCCCTACAAGTTTAGGGTATAATAATGATAAGAGGTAACCCCACGTAATTTTAAAATTACAATAGAATGTCCCTCGCGGGAAGACTTCTTATGAAGGATGAGATGACAATAGTTTCCTTAGTACCTAGGTTCCTAGTTTCAGCCTACGAATATTCTACCCCCCTAAGGTGGCTTTCTTAAAGGTATCATAGATAATACTAGAGGGAAAGGCACCAGGTCTTCCCTTAAGTAGAGCCTCATTGTAGAGCGAGACTTTCGTCTCTAAGGTCGTACAAGGTATCAACATGAGATTTTGGTTTACGGTTATACAAAGAGTCATAGGTTTCATTCCAAAGTCCTATCTCCCAAGAGGATATCTCTTGAGACATATTCCTTTTGTGGAATTCCACCGACTCTAGAAGAAGTCGTTACAAAAACTCATAGGGATGATATATTCCCGTGGCCAATAAACGAACCTTCTTTCTAAGGGTTTGAATTATTCGAAATTAAAATTCCACCATAAATAAAATATGATAAACAATTTCACAATAAATAAATAGACAAAATAAATAAAATAAATAAATAAAACAAATATAAAAACAACACCAATAACCCTAACAAAACCCTAAATCCAAGAAGGAGGGGCTTCTAAACCCTAGGGTTGAGTTTCCCCAACAGAGTCGCCAACTATAATAACTGGAACAATATATTGAGTCGCCACCATTAATTTTTATCCTAAGACGGGAATATAACAGAATAACCCTAATTGATGATACAAAGATTCTAAGTTCTTGACTCACTTTAGACGAAGGGAAGGTGTTAGGCACCTTTCATCTACCTTGTTCACAAGGATACTAGGGTTTAGGTTTAAGGTTCAGGAATAGGGTTTTAATTTTTAATTAGGGGACTCACCTTGATTTTTAAGCCGCATACCTACGTATCCTCTTATGAATATTCAGAGTCTCAACTCATAGTTCGTAGTGTTTGGTTTATGTTTTTTATAGGATTACATAGAATTGCTTTCGAATTACCCTTGAACCTTGTCTGAGTTTAAAAAAGAGTGATTGTAGATGCAATTTGAAGTTTTGATTTGAAGGCAATGCTATTTGATCCTTTTTTTTGAAAATATCTAGAATTTGATTATGTTAGTGGAAAAAAGGTTTTTTCTTTGGTTAGCTGTCTTAGATTTGATTTTTGAATCCCTGAAGAAAGTCGGGTCTTTATCAGAATTAAGTCACTCTAGGCAAAGTAAATGTTCTGATATGTAGTGATTTTTAGAAATTTTAATATTATAATTAAATCGAAAAACTAATAATTCATCTAAATTATATAAAATAAAATACATAATTTTAAAAAAATAAATTAAAAGAAATATTTTTAAATTACTTGTATTTTATACCTTTTTTATTTTAATTATTTATGATAACTAATTAAAAAAGACGCACTAAACTAAAGTCAAACCAAATAAAATTAACCAGACTAAATCTACTAAAAAAAAAGAAAAAGAGTAAATCAAATAGACAAAATCTTAACTACTAACTAATACTATAATTATATAATAATGTAAAAAAAGGACAAAAATATAATAATAGTGAGAGATGGAAAGCCATAAACAGAACGTTGCATTTCAGTAGAAAATAAACCGTGTTTAACTTTTTAACATATATGCTCCACTTATTTTCAGCCACTCTTCAAACGACACATGGCATGTGATAATTAAAGAAGAAAATAAAATAAAAATAACATAAAAGAGAATAAGGATTAGCAGTATATGACTTTGTTTGTCGTTATATCGCATCTTAAAACGGTAAATAACCATTCTTATAACAATTAAATAAATAATATGATAATTAAATATAATAAGTATAATTATGTTATGAATTAGTCAATGGGCTAGGAAAAACAAATCTAACTCTAGCCCATATGTGTTATCTAATGAACCTTATTCCCTAAGGTCAAAACATATCACTTCAAATAGAAAAAACAGTAGCCACTATTATCCAAAGGTGAAAACGCAAACATGAAAAAGGGAAAAGGATTACCAACAGTGAATTTGCGGTGGCACGGTGCAAAAGGGGCGGCTGGTGGAGCGATTGTTGAAGCGGCGATTCTGGGGGTTGATCGAGGTGTTTGCACGGAAGGACTTCGTGATGGGGCTGAGCGATTCTGACTGTTGGTTCTCGTTGGATTTGAACAGATGTGTGATCTGGGCTTCATGGCGAGGATTCTTGGTTTGATTTACAGCAGAGACGCATTGCCGACAGTGTTAATGATACTCGTGCATGGCGGATTCGCGGTTGAGCGTGACGGCGGTCGGAGGAGACAGATCAGTGTTGCAGTAGTATCTCAATGGTGATTCTTTTCATGTTTCACTGTGTTGTTTCTTCTATTTACTTTACTCCTGTAAAAACAAAATTCTAAAATAAATCAAATAAACCAAGCTAGAAAAAGTATGTGGTGTGTAATTGGAAATTTGTGAATGTCTTTTGGACCTGTTTCACTGTTTCTGTTCAGAAATCCTGAAATAAATCAAAAGTAAGAGATAGATTGAGATTGTGAAATTATAGATGAAAATTTATAAGGACAATAGTCCTATTTATAAACTTAGAATTAGGTTTAAAAATTTGGGAAATAAGTTATCCAAAAACCAAAAGAAGTCTAAAGTATGATCTCTAAAAAAGAAAAGAAAATTAGTAACAAAAAATAGAAAAAGAAATGTTTAATTGCAACTTTGGTCCAATTATTTTGTATTTTTTCGATTTTGGTCCCCCATTTTAAAAACCATGATTTGGTCCTTTTTGAATTTTCTATTGAAAAATGAACAAAAATAGGGACTAAAATTGTAGAAAAAAACAAAATAGGAGGACGAAAATTGCACAGAAAACTTAAAAAGATGACTAAATTAGTGGTTTTTAAAATGGGGGGACCAAAATAAAAAAAATACAAAATAGAGGGACCAAAGTTGCAATTAAGCCAAAAAGAAAATGTTAAAAGTGCAACACAAGAGATTCAAATCCACAATGTCATACTTGCAAGCTTCATTCCTTACCAACGGTGTTATGTTACTTATTTGAAATAAAAAACCTAATTGAAAGTATACAAAAGTGAACAAGTATTTAATACAAATAATTTTAAATAAACTATTATACATTTTTAAATGAGTGAAATAAACTATTGTTAAAATGTTAGTAAAATTGAACCAAAGAATATTATAAAAACCAATGTTGAAAATATTTTTAACTGTAAAAATAAAGGGCGGGAAAATTTAGGAGATGACACATTTCTTTCCCATTTTTGAGCATAGTAGTGTTGTATTTATACGTCACGACTTTATAAAAATCATATGGAGTCGGTCCTAGCAAGTATACAACCAAAGGAGAAATATGAGCTCTTTGATTGCTATATGTTATTTCCAAAGGTTCAAGTATGTTGAAATGAGGGATTATGACATTAACTTCAGCATCCTTAATTTTTCCTTTGTAAACAATGATCTCTACACTCGTATCAGAAACATCTTCATTTGTTGGCACAAGAATAAGTGACATCTCTGCATTTATTTTTCTATCAGAAAGAATGAATATTGCTCCATCTTTAAACAGACCCAGGCCTTTCAATATCTGGAGATTTGCTCTTGCAACAACACACCCATGAGGTATTCCATCACAGTTTGGACAAATATCATGACTGACATCAAACAACCCATTTTGAACCCATTTTTATGTATCTCTATGGAGATTACCGCGTTAAGTTCTTCAATTGTAGGTTCATCATAATGGCTTTCAATCATATTCACTTCATCATCATTTCGGTCTTTGGTGACTGTTATGAGACCCTGGTCTAGTAGGCGTTAGAGGCCTCACTTCACAATATGGCATCCACGGGAGTCTCTATAACAGATTTGACAAGAACCATAGTTGTGTCGCTCTTGACCATTCATACTGCAAAGGGTAACATTCATCTGTACCAGGTCTCCCTTTAACAGATAGGCATCAAAGATACGGTATTCTCCAAGAGACCCATACACCATATTCACATCATGTTCTCCATGATTAGGTAGCGGATTAGCTTACACATTCGGACCGTCTCTAAATGATAAGAGACCACTTCTGACCAATTTATGGACTTCAATCTTCAATGGGAAATAATTTTCAATACTATGGCCTAGAGCTCCTTGGTGAAAAGCACAATGAGCATCTGCCTTATGCCAGTACATAATGTCTTTCAAGATAGCAGGCGATGCTTTTGTATGAACCATATTCTTTTGCAATAAACCAGGTAATAACTCCTCATAAGTCATTAGGATCGGGTCAAAACATGACACACTTCTTACTCAGTTTTGCTAATTGTTGTAAGCCTGTTGTTGAGGTTGGTGTGTGTTGTAAGCCTATGTCGAGGCTGGTGAACTTGTTTAGGGAATCGTGGCTGGTAAGTTGGTACCATAGGTGTGGGATTAATTACGGGAGCAATAAGTGCAACATGTTTATAAGGATACCTTCTTCTTGGTTTTCTGGAGGATACTACACTGACATCATGCTCTTTCTTCTTTGGGAAACTACTTCCAAATTTCCTCACCCCACTTGATGGACTTACTTCTTTGGTCAACCGTCCAGTGCAAACACCTTCCTCGATTCGTATTCCCATATTCACCATTTCAGTTAAATCATTCAGTGCACTCACAATCATTCTTTTTAAATCTGTCCCAAGGTATTCAGAAAGATTTTTGTCATTTCCTTCTCTTTTATAAGAGGACAGGTTTGAGCGGAAACCTCACGCCATCTTTGTGCATATTCCTTAAATATTTCCTTGTCTTTGGGGGAAATAGCTCAGAGTTGATCTATGTCCGGATCCATGTCAACATTATATTTATACTAGCGAACAAAGGCTTCACCGAGGTCTCTGAAAGTAGGAATTTGTGTATTATCTAAACTCATGTACCACCCAAGAGCGACACTAGACAAACTATCTTGAAATTAGTGGATCAACAACTTGTCACTATCTGTTTGAGTTGGCACTTTTCTAGCATACATAGTGAAGTGACTCTCTAGGAAAGAATCCCCTTTGTACTTTTCAAAGTCAGGTACTTTGAACTTTGTCGGTATCTTCACATTCAGCACCAGGCATAAGTCTTAAGCATTCTTCTCGAATAGGTATTTCCCATGAAGGGATTTAAGTTCTTTATGCATTTCGTGAAATTGGTTTTGGAAATCGTCCATACTTTTCTCAACACCCAAACTTTAAGACGGTTCAGTATGCTAGACTTGTTCATTTCCAAATGAGATAATATGTACAACTGAAGGAGGAATATACATCTCAAGAGGAGGGATAGCCATCCCATGAGGGGGAGCAAACATTACATGTTACATTGTGGGAACTTCAACAACAAGTTGGTATCCCTCCAACATAAATTTGAGTGGCATGCCCCAAGAATATCCATGTGGCATCTGATACTATGGAACACTGATTGGAGCTACTGACACAAGAGCGGTAACAACTTCAGAGATCACTGTGGTCTGGTGTGATACGGTGGGAGAACTGACTTGAGGTTTTGCGTTTTATCGCAAATGTCGCGGTTAGCAAGAGTCGCCACCGACTTTTCTTGTATCCAAATGAAAAGGTAAAAAAGTACAGGAAAGACCTTTGAGATGTTTTTGAGTTCGGGGCGTAGATTATGAAAAGGGAAGGTGCTAGCACCCTTTTCATCCATGGTTTTCCATGGGCTCTTATTTACTTGCTAGATCACTTACTTTTGTTTGAATGTGTGCTTGTGGTGGTGATTTTTGAAAGTATTTGAAAATGGAACTTCGTAATGGTTCTCGTTTCTATGAGAACGCCTACAAACTGTTTGTTTCGAAAAATAGTTCAAAGGTGTGTTTGTGAGATGTGTTTTTGAAAGTATTTTGAAAATGGAACTTCATAATGATTCTCGTTTCTATGAGAACACCTACAAAGTGTTTGTTTCGAAAATAGTTCAAATGTGTGTTTGTGAGATGTGTTTTTGAAAGTATTTTGAAAATGGAACTTCATAATGATTCTCGTTTCTATGAGAATGCCTACAAAGTGTTTGTTTCGAAAATAGTTCAAAGGTGAGAGTGTGGGTAAAACTGTTTTTGTTGTGAGCAAGCGAGTAACTAAGAGAAAATCTACCTACTCGAAAGGTCTTAAATGTGCTTTTCCTCCTCCTTTAGATGTGGCTATCTTACCATCGATTTGGCAAGAAGCCCCATCATTGGATGTGAAGGGACGACCGTTGGGACGTTTGTATAGTCATAGAAGGCAACATATGGGACGTTTTAGCAATGTCATTTTAGGGACTAGATCGTTTACCGAAGGCAACATCGAAGGTCATCGAGGGACTACGATCTTTTATCGAGGGTCTTTGCTAAAACGCCCATGTTCGAGGGACATGACTATTTTCTGATAGGCAATAAGTGGAATTACCCTAGAGGTGCATGTGTGAATAATGTGTTTGATTTTCATGCATTTAGTCTTTGATTAGGGTGGCCTATTTTGTTGTTTTTATCTTGCCATACACACTTATTTACTAGCAATATATGAAAAGCAAGTAAAAGGCGGAAAGTAAAATCTAAGCTATTACATCACTTTAGGGGGATGGGGATACAATTTAACAATGGGGATAAAGTAGGAACTAAAATATTACACCACATTGAATGATAATGAAAAGAATGTGAAAAGAATGTAGAATAAAGGGAAAATGCACGTTTGAACTCCTATGTGTCGACCCATGCTGCTATGCATCGACACATAACTTCTCCTGCTCATGTAAAACAAAATCAGTTCAGTATGGGTCGACACATAATGGGATGTGTCAACTCATGCATCTTCTTGTATCGACGTGAAACGCGTATGTATCGACTCATAGGCTTTTCCAGCTTCTGTTTTGTGAAATTTGTTTAGTATGTGTCGACACATAATGGGATGTGTCGACTCATACACCTTTTTGCATCGACGCAAAATGCGTATGTGTCGACTCATAGTCCTTTCCAGTCCCTGTTTTGTGACCTGAATTCAGTATGTGTCGATGCATGAGGGTCATGTGTTGACTCACACCCTGTATTTTCACTAAGATGGGTCGACACATGTGGATATGTGTCGATACATCCTGCACTTTTCTGCCTTAAATACCATTCTTTGCATACATCAGTTAGTTTTTAACATATGAATGAATAACATGAACAACAAATAAATGATTAACTTCA